ACGTTCAGTTGAATCAATGAATTCCAGCTTTTCTAAGCCATCTATATGATGTACGTTGGTTCCTTGGCAAGCTTTGGGGACTTGAAAAATATGAATGGATGAGGCTGTGTCATTCAGCTTCCACCGACACTATTAAAGCACATGTGATCCGACAGTTGCAGTCGTCATAAAAGACACCATCCCATCCATTAAAAAGATATAAAAAGATGATATAAATATTATTTAAAAAAATATCTTGTAAAGAATTATGATAATTTTATCAAAATAATATTTTTAAAATTATTTTTCGAAAAATACGTTGCAAAAGGAGCGAATTTACCAACATGGTGCTTAACTGCTTATCTTACTTGCGAGAGCACAAACACAAACTAGACAGCAACGACGGTGGAACGCATCTATCAGCTTGTGCAATTACGTGCTTAAAATAGAGAACATATTCGTCAAAATGAAAAATTGATTTGAACGATAACTATTCTTATAAATATCATGCTTGAATATAAAATTTTAGAAATAATAATCATTACTTTAAATACTAAGGTAATTTAGTTAGTGTGAAATAAAATTAAGAGTAAAGTATAGTAATAGTCACTGAATTTTTCTAAAACTTTTATTTAGGTCTCCAACTTTTAAAACTTACAATATAGTCCCCCAACATTTAGTTCGCTTGCTATATGGTCCCAGACGTAACCGGCCGTTTGACGTCGTTACACTGGCGTTAGTACGTTTGCAATATGGTCACTGAACTTTTCAGGTGCTTGCATTTAGGTCCCTCAACTTTTAAAACTTGCAACACAGTCCTTAATTTCATTCTAAACCCCAAATTCCTTTTCGATCTTGAATTTCCTTTTTCGTTTCTCTCTTCTCATTTCCAACGTAACTTTTCAGTCGGTGATGTTTGGAAAATTCTAATCTAACTTTGAATTATGTGGAGGTGTTGGGCGTTAGTACGTTTGTAATATGGTCACTGAACTTTTCAGTGCTTGCATTTAGGTCCCTCAACTTTAAAACTTGCAACACAGTCCTTAATTTCATTCTAAACCCCAAATTCCTTTTCGATCTTGAATTTCCTTTTTCGTTTCTCTCTTCTCATTTCCAACGTAACTTTTCAGTCGGTGATGCATGGGAAATTCTAATCTAACTTTGAATTATGTGGAGGTGTTGACTTGAATAAGAGTCCTTTGAGAGAAGACCAGACCAATAGACTATCGGGACCATTAACGATTCAAGGTGTAATGTTAGATACATGTAAACTCAGGTGAAGCATAAATGTTCGATGAAATGCTTGTGAGAAAAAATGGTGTTAGAAATGCAGGGTTGACAAATACTACTAAGATGAACTAAGTATCATTGTTGAAAGTCACCAACAAAGCTGGAATTATTTTGTATAAATGACATCTAATTATTTATTCGTTTAATCCTTGTGGTTAAAGATTTTCCAACAAATGATCAAATATAATGAAATCCCAAACAACACATTCACCTCTTAGTCTCTTTCGCAACTCGAAAGGCATCATGACAGGGTCAAGTAGCTGCTCCAAATATACTACCCTGTCATGATGCCTTTAGAGTTGCGTGCATGCAAAATTGTCTTCTAAAGATATAATTCAATACAATTCAACTGTAAAATTTCCAAAACATGTAAAAAAAATCCAATTCGTTCACGATATATCAGTCCCATAATCAACATGAACTTATTAAAAAGAATACGAGCTCACAGGACGCCGAAAACCACAGGTCGAATCAATACAATTCCTAGTAAACTAGTAGCAGCAATCTCTCGGATTGAGCTTGGAGATTTCACTATGTCGATACTCACAACTAATTCCCTGATTTAAAGAAAAACCAAACAAGAAATCAATTTTTTTTTGCCTAGGACCATATTTCACTTCTATTCTGATAGACTGAATATCTTTCATAAGGAGTACTAAAAGTTTTGATTAAGAAGAAAGAAAGAAAATTAGATGGTTTTGGTTCAAAACTAACACTGAATATCTAGATAATTGACATGCAGTTCCAGAAACATAAAAATTTCAACAAAAAACACACAATGCGAGCTGAAAATGGGAAAATGCGAAAGAGTAAAAGCTTACTTCCAGATAGCCCAAAAGATAAAAATAAATACCTTGTTGCAAGTGAGGGGAGAGGCTAAGAAATAAACGCAATCGGTGTTGCGTTCCATCAATTCTTCATCCAATTATTTCATATGCAATCACAACCTTCATATCACTATTTAACCATATCATATATGATCAATCATTAACAAATAATAACATGACATCTTATAATAAAGTAAATGCTTTTTATGTCTTTTATGTGCCCATGTACATTACTGAGAACTTAAGGTATGCGAGTACATTGAGGTTGTGCACATATGATGTCACCACAACTCGTATAAATTTTCCACTGAGTGGCATATAAAATTATCTCGAATAACCTCATATATGTCCCGAAGGACCTCGTATATGTCCCGAAAGACCTCGTAGAACCCTTGACTCTTGGCATGCCAATTATACTCACAGCTCTCATATCACATAACATGGGCTTGAACATTTATATATCTCATGTGTTCATATAGTCAACTAATCCATCACTTATACATGTACTCATGTAACTCATATCATTTCTCATATAATCACATATTTTCTATCTCATAACATATGTCATATGTACATATAATCATCTATCTTATATCATATAGCTTATATTGTTTGTTTATGTTCACATGGATCACATAGCATATATAAAAACATATAAACATGTATCACCCATGCAGGTACTCATAATGATCATAACTTATGCATATTCATAACTATTGAACCATGAAATTTAAACATATGAAATAGACTTATCACAAGTCTTGTTTCCATAAAACAACATCTATACTATATTATGCACTCACCTTAGCCTCACTTAGTCCAATCAACTCCTATAACTCGTTATCTTTCGGTCGATCGATCTTAACTCTTCGACTATTCCGAAACTTGTTTATGTTCAAGATCTACACCAATGTAAATTTGATATGGATATTAGAATTCTAAACCTTATGAGTCAATCATTAATAATATAGGCTAAAAGAAGTATCTAATTCACATTTTCACTTTGAGTAGTATCGGTACCCAATGTATGGCACATATACTTCCTTTGTTGTGGTATCGATACTATGCTTTGGTATCGATACCATTTCCCGGTTCTGGAATTCTATTTCAAAAATGGTATCGATACTCTTCTATTGGTATCAGTACCCTTGGGTATCGATACTACCGTTTAAGTATCGATACCCCTTGAATAACTTATCCACTTTTTGCTTTTGGTATTGATACTGTTCATACAGTATCGATACCCTACTACAAATATCACCCATTTCACTTTTGAAGTATTAATACTGGATTAACCAGTACCGATACTCCTTACCTAGAAGTCACTCCTTAAACCCGAAAATTTACCAATACTCACTTAAACCTTCCATTTTAAACTCCCTTCTTGCCACTAAACTTAACTACTTACTCAAATCATTTTATATCCATATAAAGCATTGTTATCTTCAATATCTCATCCAAATTCTTGAAACCAAGAATCTTACTAAATTTTTAACATGTTCTAATTTCATTTCTAACACTTCATACTTCTTAATTTAAGTGATGAAAAATCAAATTTAATCTTAAACTTTACTTACTAACTTCTTTTCACAATTTCGCTTAATCACCTCCTATCTTAAATCTTTCCTAACTCCTTCATTTTTTAGTTTTAAGACAACTTAAGCTTTCCTTAAGCTTAAGTATTACCCAAAGAACATAAACCAAGCTTAATTTTAATAATAAATAAACTAATATGAAACTTACCTTGACAATTTGGGGTTCACATTTGAATAAACAAGAAAGATGAAGAGTTCTCTGGAAATCTTTGATTTTTCCTCCCTCAAGCTCCACGTGTATATATCATCACCATAACAAATTTTTAATTCATTTACTTTCCAAATGACCATTTTTCCCTTCTAATCATCCTTCTTTTCTATTTGGTCCTACACAAAATATTACACTTCCATGAACTTTTCAATTTATCTAATTTAGTCACTAAACTCTAGAATTTAAATTTGGTCACTAACCCGATATTTGGGATGTTACACTAACATTACACCTTGAATCATTGATGGTCCCGATAGTTCCTTGGTAGGGTTTTCTTTCAATATACCCTTATTCAAGTCAACACATCCACATAATTCAAAGTTAGATTAGAATTTCCCATGCATCACCATATGAAAAGTTACGCAGGAAATGAGAAAAGAGAAGCGAAAAAGGAAATTTGAGATCAAAAAGGAATTTGGGGTTTAAAATGAAATTGAGGATTGTGTTGCAAGTTTTAAAAGTTGGGGGACCTAAATGCAAGCACCTGAAAAGTTCAGTGAACATATTGCAAATGTACTAACGACAGTGTAACGGCGTCAAACGGCCGGTTACGTCGGGGACCATATTGCAAACAGACTAAATGTTGGGGGATTGTATTGGAAACGAACTAAATGTTGGGGGACTGTATTGCAAGTTTTAAAAGTTAGGGACCTAAATGAAAGCTTTAGAAAAGTTCAGTGACCATTACTATACTTTACCCTAAAATTAAATACAAACTTTTATAAAAATTAGATCCTTAACATAATTGAGCAGTTGATAAAATTAGAAAAAAAAATAAACGGATAAAAGGAGTAACCAATTAATTTGAACAAAAAATAGTATTAACCAGCAACAACCTGTAGTTGATAAATATGCATGGTTTTCCTGAATCCTGGCAATGTGCTTAAACTTCGAAACCGTGCTTTATGCTGAAGCGTTGCCCTATTTTTGGCCAAATTCAACCCCATATATACCTCTCCCGCTCCCTCTCCATAATTGTGCGGTGCGGGTATAAATCAAATCTTCAGAGAACAACAGCACCACATTTCTTACAAATTACTGCTAGTTGTTCTCCTAGAGAAACCTTCGAGAAAAATCCAAACCCGAAAAGAAACAGTAATGGCACGCCAAATCTTTGCTTTTGCTTTGGTCTTAATTGCTTTAATCGGGTTGGTTTCCGCTGCCAATGATGCTGATAGTACACCACTTGGTCCCGCCATTGCATCCACCATACCAGATGTTAAAATCATCGGTACCATTGATGACGCAAGTGCACCATCTCCGAATGCTGCTGCTATTGATGTTGTTGCTACCCCTCTTGGCAGTGGGCCGGATGCTAAAAATTTTGCTCCTCCTCCTAGTGATGCAACCACTGTTGGTGTCTCCACCATACAGGCAGCGGCCATCACCGGGGCAGTTGTCATAGCTGGCTACTTCGTCTTCTAAATTAGTTTCGTTTAATGGAAGTGTCTTAAACCTCAAAAAGCAGACTTCTTAGCATGAAAACTTTGAGATTTGCATATGGCAGCTGCTTGAACGTTTATATGAACTAACAGAAGAATATAAGTTCCTTTTCTTTTCATAACGAAACCCGTAGAATCGAATGTTCAAAACTTGGATTAATATTACCGGAGACAAGAAGACTAATATCAATTACAAGAATGTCAGGAAACAGATTCTTAAATGCTTTAATACAGAGAATGTACCTAAACTTTATAAAATCCCTATCACCTAACAGCTAAAACACTATAAAAGGTATTCAGCTCTCAGAATTTTTACCCCAACTATTTGATGCATGAGTGTTGACAGGGCATGATGGAAACAAGTTCAATGCATTCCTAGGCTGCTGTGAGGACCCTTTTTAACTATGGATCGAAGAATGAATGAAACAACTTCCCTTTCTGAACCACTGCAATTGAAGACTGGCTGCCATGTTTTATACCTCTTACCACAATACATACAAGCACCGACCGGAGACGAAATGAGGTACTTAACTTGATGTGCAAGATGAAAGTGGAAACAGCAAGTCATGAACTCGAGCATTATCATAATCAGCTGAAAATTGGACATCTTCCTCAATACATGCCCTTAAAAACAGGATTTGTTCGGCAAATGCTGGCTCCATATTCCTCATATTCAGCTTTTGTATGACATGCCTACACATTGCAATGGTTAGGAGACTTAGAGCCAAAATCCAAATCTTAGACTGAACTACACAATGCTAATGGCAAGCGTATCGGGTAATAGACAAATCAATCAAGCAAGAACTGTGACAAACCATAAATGCTAAAATCAATGCCATTCATCAGCCCGTATAGAGAAAAGAGACTAAGGGGTTGTTTGTTTAGTTCTGAATGGAACCATTCAGCACTGAATACAGAACCGTTCAGCATTCAGCGTGTTTGTTTCTCATCTCTAATGATTCAGTGCTGACTGATTCCGCAAAACAGTGCTGAATGATTCAGCATCAAATTACATTCTGAATGATTCAGAGCCATTATCAAACAACATGTCACATTCAGAACTAATTCATACAGAGCCTCTGAATTATTGAGCATTTGAATCATTCAACGCTTAATCATTATGAAATAAACAAACAGCCCCTAAGATGAGTTTAAAGTAGAGATTCATACCGCAAAAAATTCAGGTGTTGATGCAAGTACAGAACCTCCAAACCATACCGCAAATCTTTGGATAGGATGACCAACTACATTAACTTCAACGGGTTGTGACTGGAAGGTGAAGGCCAAAACAGGATTAGCAGTTAGCTTTTAAAAATACACAACAGGATGAAAATATAGGCAAATTACTTTTATTTCCCCCCCAACTCGAATATCAGATGCATGAACTCGGGCATCTACAATCTTTTTCAGATCTCGCTGCAACCTTCTGTGGAAGTCTTTGAACATGGTTGATCCACCAGATAATACTATGTTCTGAAAAATGTTTTGATAGTGAAAAGAGAGCATTAAATTATTTATAGAGATTTATGACAAAACAAGTGAAAAATCATTATCTTGTCAAGTCAGTCATCAGTCTTGTGTATTTAACTTCAAGCTTTCTTTACTTTTTTGGTAAGTATCAACAACGTAACCAACAGTTGGCACAAGCCATTATCAACATACTGCCACTAGGCAAAGAATTTTTTTGGTTAAAAAAAGTAGTAATAAAACAGCTATGACTTTGAATATAGAGATTAGAATCATACCTGGTATGAAAAAATAAAATCTAATCAGCTCAAAAATAAAAACACTGATTCAAGAGTTTCGAATGAAAAAATCACATATCAAGAACATCATCCTACTGAAGTTCAATAAAAAGACACTGTTCTATCAAGAAGAAAAGTGCATGACCTCCAGGTGAATCCTTAATCAGTACATCTCAGCTTTCAACTGTGATACTTTCTTATCGTCTCATTTGGATCTATCTTAGCTAAGAACCAAAAAATTGCAAACTGCTTCTCTTTTTCTAATGAGAGTATTATACTTCACCTTATACAAAGCTCTTCTGGTGTCAATTGGTGCCGACTGAATGCACATATCTATTACAGCTGGTAAGGGAGTAGTAAAATCACTGCTATAGATCTCAGGACTGAAGAAAACCTGTCAAACCAACCAATACAGAAACATCAGCAACAAGATTCAAGAAGCAATTTATAAGCAGTAAAGTTCATCAAAAAAAATTTCTCAAACAGCAGTGTATTATCAACTACCTAGTTGTAACATCAGAGTACAAAAATGCCAAAATCATACAATTAAGAATTTAACCGGCACCTAGAAATCAATAAAAACTTATATTCTATTCTCCATACACCACAATTCTGTTTCTGTTGATGGAACTTGACATTTAGACGAGGAAATATTTTGTTATAGTTGGTCTACACCAACTTATTGTTAGCAATATCACAGCGAGGGCATACTTATATGCTTATATGTGAAGAAAGATTTTTAGTATAGCCAGATCAGAGAAAAGAGTGGGAGGAATCTGCTTGTTGACAGATAAGCATTGGCATCAAATGATAGCAGCAAGCAACCAGGTATGCGTGTGATATATTTATATTAATAGAAGCGTAAATCTTCATAAGGCAGCCAAGAGTCTAACCACTTGAAAGAGTCAGCAAATCAGGTCCTTAAATTGGTCCACAAGAACATGTTATTCTAGTAGCGATATCCTGACTAACCCCAACCCCAAAAATACTTAATAATTATGGATAAATGCCAAAAGTTGCAGTAATCTTAAACGTAAGGATTGAGTTTGAAAGGGAAAAAGAGGACAAACCTCGGGGCCTAAAAATCGTTCATAACCAATGTCACAGGAGTATGGTGCGCCAGTCTTCGGTCTAATACCCCTCCAATGTTTGATATACTTTCCAGGTTCTTTGTCGTGCTTGTTGAACTCCTAAATAATATTATCAAATTACCATTGGAATGTCAGAACATGTCAACTCCATTACAGTATCTCATGCCAGGTAAAAATCATGAGGTGAAACTCATGCCAAAACATTTTACAAAATCATAATCCAGTGAAATAAAATATGACCTTGACTATATCAGAACATGTATAGCAGTACATTTCCTTCACTTTTCGAGCAGCTTCAAATGAGTCCTCCGGTGGAATTTTCTCTCCTCTTTCCTGAAAATAATGGTGTCAAAAGACAAGAATTCAAGAAATAATGCATTAAGATTATTCTACAATCTCCATAGCCACAAATCAAAGCTACACGCATACAAGATAACTATAGAAGAGAAACATTTAAAGCCCAACACCTTTGAGCTTTTAAAGAAGCAATCTCAAGCAGAATAATAAGAACAAGAGGGGTAAAAAAGACACATTAATTTGGCCAACCAACTGTGAATAGCTTTTGTTGTCAAATTAAATCTAGCATTCTTCAATGGCCATAAAATTTGAAACATCATTCAGTCAAAGAAGATACCACACACCCCATACGGCAATTGGAAGAATGCATGATAGTGATACTATCACAACTAGGACTGGGTAATTGAGAGTATGGTACTAGAAGTACATATTACATAAGCATATAAATCCAACCATATAGAAGGCCGAATTGTTCTAAGAAAAGTAGACAAGTTTCTCATCAGGACATATAAATAACAAGAAGTACTAGAAATCTTGAATAAATAGTAAATGGATACCAAAGTACTATAAAAACAAACTTTCTAATATCAAGAAGCAGAAACTACTTTTTTGTTCATGATAGGGAGTCGAGGAAAAAAAATACCGCATAAGTTGTTGTATGAAGAGTGTAACATCTTTTCCAGCTATTGGAATTGACTTAATGCTGCTCCCAATAACATAACCATCAGCAACAGGTACAATATGAGTAGCCCCATCTCCAACATCCACTACAACTCCTGTCATCTCACACTAAAGAAAATTGTGTCAATCTAAATGGAAGCGAAACTATATAGGATGATTAGCAAGATAATAAATGCACATAATGTAGATCATACAGCTAAGAAAAAGAAAAATATTTTATGAAGTTGGCAAAGACTTTTAAGCTCATAACAAGTAACAACACCATGAAGCTTAATGTCCTGAAAATATGAAGACTGGATAAATTTATACAAATCTGATTGTATTCGCTACAAAACACCGTTGATTAAAAATGTACTCCTACAGTGTCTATTATAGCACGTTCTCATATACAATGACACCATATATCACCTATTCCATTGATAACTTAAAAAAGTAGATCAAGAAAAAGTTAGTTCAGGCAATTTAAGGGAGAGAAATAATTAATATTGCACTGATTGCTCAATTACTAAATGGCTTTAAATCAATTAGTTGATGACTGAATAGCTGATCATTCCAGAACCAACATTCATACACAGAGTTTAGAGGTTTCGTTTATTACAATAAATAATAACGATCACAGAGAGTCAAGGAACCAAACTTATACAATTAATGAGCTGGTAAATATCTAACCAAAACAGAGAACAAAAGAAAAAACACATGATTCAGGAAATCAGTCACCAACCTTAGAGGTAGTGTACCCAGCTGCTAAAGCAAGCACAGAATTCACAGCAATGTAAAGCCCTGGAACATTAAACGTCTCAAACATAATTTCGCCTGTATATTCTCGATTCTCAGGAGCAGTAAGAGGACTCTCAGTCAACAAAAAGTAATGATCCTCAGGATCACACCGTAAATAATTGAAAATACATTGCTGCCAATACCGTTCCATGGCATCCCAGTTATAAACTTGACCATGCTTAATAGGATAGGTAAGGTTATAAGTGTTACTCGATCTTGATTTCGTCAGTGCTTCATCTCCAATAAAGAAATCAAGATCTGCCATCACCCCAGCTGAATACTGACTTGACCAATTTGACTTGGAAGAAGTTCTGGATTGATTGAGAAACGACTCGTTAAGCGCTACTACTGTTGGCTGAATAAAACACGGCTCTACATTACCCGCAAATCCC